TAGGAGGCTGATGAAGTGAAGTTCATAGGCCCGGCTCTGAAAAGGGGGTTGTAAATTCAAATGGGCACTGAACCTTGCTAGCATAACCTCATCACCAGAAGCCAACTTCCTACAACTCAAACCACAAAACCTGCCCACAATCTCCAGTAATCCCCTACAAACTGCACACCAGAATCTATCAAAGACAAGAATACCCAACTACCTGTGGGGGCACATTCCTAACAAAAATCTACTGTCTCCACTCTCTCAGGCCTGATCCTGAAAGGGAATTTACAAACCACTTTTCACAGCTGGGCTTATGAACTTCACTTCATCAGCCTCCTAGGTCCAGAAACTCATGGACTCTACACAGACACTGGAATTCTGACACACTACAACCTGCCGGACATCTAGCTCCCCAGGTACCTCTGCACTTCTACCTCCACTGCTACATCCACCCCGCCCCCCTCCACCCCAGCCTGTCCCTCATCCCCTGACATCTCCATTTCCATTTTAACTGACTGGTTTTCTTGCCTGCATCGCATGCCACTCTCTTGCTTCTTTACTATTCCTTCCATCCAGGAACAGCACACATACACACACCAACTGCAGGTGCTTCCTCAGTGTGACAAAGGGTTTTCCAATGCAAAAGCTGGCATCCCAGGCAGCTAAGCTGAGCTCACCTGGAGCCTCACAACTCCACTGCAACCAGCAAGCCTCAGGCATGTCAAAGATGTGACATGTCTGGGCTTTCCCCAGCCAGGACTGTGTGCGTATGTGTGTTAGCTGGAGGTTATGGTGCCTCCTACCCATGTTTCACCAGGGGATCATTGGTCCTGGCATTTACAAGGCTGCCACACCACCAGCAGTCCCACCAGGCCTCCCTACCCTGGCAGGGTACAGTTTTAGTGGCCCATGCCCAGGACCTGAGGCCTCCTCCTTCCCCATAGCCCCAGCTCATACCCTTAAGTTTGTCCAGGCATAAGAGCGAACTCAGCAGGGAGATGTTCTTCCCCTACTGGCTGGTGATGCAGTGAGTGCCTCCTTCAGCTGAGAGTGGGGCATTAACTGT